TCGCATCCTTCTTTGTATTCAAGTGATCCTGTAAACTACAATATATTATTTTTCATCATTAAAATCTAGATCTAACATTATTATGTCATTAATTATGGAATAAGAATATGTGACATTATGTTTGAAACTGTTATTTATGCATTATGACTATAGAGTTTTATTTCAGCCCTTGGGGTTGTCGACGCCACTGCCAAGTCGCTGGAAACTTATGATGGTTATTCTGTAGTAATGTTCTTCTCTTATAATGATAAGTACTCTAAAGGTACCAAACTTATGAAATAAAAGTACTTAGTTATCAAAGAGAAGAATCAAAAACAAGAGTGTCAACTAATGTAATCTCATGATTGTAGATCTATTAATGAAGTTTATAATTAAAAACATTTAAAGGATATGTACATATAAAGGGTCTTGGTTGTACTTATGCCTGATGCACTGATGATGTTTTTGACACTTTGAGCTTATTTATGTATTTTTGATATACATTAATGATTTTATATTGGGATAATGCATAATTACCCCATTAGGATTGTCCCACATTACTAGTTGCACCCTCATACTTTGCGGGGTTCATATGATCCCCTGACTTTATTTGAAATATAATAAATACCACCTCCCATAACTAACTAATACCTATGTCAACTAAAATGATGTATGACACGCACCAATCATATTTTGATACGTGTTTTTTAAACTACATAATTTCTTTTTCATTTATTATTTAGTTTATCTTCACTTTCTTTTTCTTTGTTCCTTTTCTTTATCCCCAACCCCCACCCCACGCCACCAAGACTCCTTCTTTGTCCCAGCACTCCCTATCTATCCCTTCCCCCAGTTGATTAGTTCTTGTGTTTGGTTTTTTAATTTCAAAATTTTCTATTTATGGCTTCTTCTTTTTCTCGTTACATCCAATCTCCCCACCTATTTCTTCATCTACTTTCTTATATTAAATATCCCCATTATTTAAAGTGTTACCGGAATCACCATTGTTTCCGGCGAAAAATAAGAATAAGAAAAAGAAAAAGAAAAGAAGAGAAAAATGTACTGGAGATGACTTTTAAGATGAAACGAAAGAGTTTTGAACGAGAAAAATGTACGGGAGATGATTTCTTTTACGCTGTTTTTTTTTTTGTTGAAGATTCCTAAGTTTGTTTTTTAAAATCGACGTGGTGGAGATTGTGGAAATCAAAGTGGTGGTGGGTGTGATTTAATGGATGAATATATGGAGTGTAATTATTTTTTTGTTGAAGACATTCTGGTGGGTTTTGGTGGAGATGGAGGCAGTGAAGTGGTGGCAGAAGGGGCATGTTATTAAAGAAGAAGCAAGAAGAGAAGAAAGAAAAGAAAAAGGAAAGGAAAATGACGAGGAAAAGTAAAACAAAATAGAAAGAAAAGGAAAAATATTACATTTAAATAAAAAATCTTGCAAAAAATTAAATTTTTAATTTTAGTTTTAATCCCCTCACTCTCTTTAAGCAAGTGATATACACTCCCCATGTCATATGGGCTGGAAAATGGGATAATGATATGAGTTCAAAGTTGTTACGGGGGTCATAGGACCCTCGCAAAATAGAAGGGTGCATGTGGTAAAGTGTGACAACCCCAATAAGATAATTATGTATTATTCCTTTTATATTTCTCATAAGGGTGTACACAATATTGTATTGAGAATTTACAGGATACGTCTTAGTGAGATATTATTGTGGATCATAATGTTAAATGTCTTATAGATTATGGACCTGGTATGATAAGTTATGAATGTTGTAGTATATAGAAAAAATTATGTATAACCACCATAACTCACATTTAGTAGTTTGTCATATTATGGTATGCATGATGGACATAAAAGAGATTTGTTTATGCACAACTAATGGATATATTATTAAATATTAATATTATGTGATTATTTATAGTTTTGAGCTCTAGCGCATTGTTCTGTAGTTTGAGACCTTGAGTAGTTTCACTTCATGTTTTATGATTTGTACGTGTGGTCGGAATTAAATTTCGGGAAGTTCGGAATTGATTCGGATGGAAAATTCTCAATTCGGAAGCTTTAAGTTGGAAGAGTTGACCAAGGTTTGACTTTTGAGTACACGACCTCATAATCAGGATTTGAAGGTTTTATTAGGTTTCGAACGACGATTTCGGACTTGGGCGTATATTCGATTTGAGTATCGGGAGGTCCGTGAGCATTTCAGCGCTTATTATGAAACGTTGGCATTTTGAAAGTTTAAGAAATTCCTAAATTTGATTTGAAGTAGATTTTGGTGTTATCGATGTCTGTTTGGGGTTCCGAGCCTTGAAATAGGTTCGTATTATGATTTGTGACTTGTATGTAAAGTTTGGCGTCATTCCGAAATGTTTAGATATGATTCAGACACGTTCATCAAAGTTTGAATGTTAGAAAGATGAAAAGGGTTTGATCATCGATTCGTGATTTCTATGTTATTTGTAGCTTTTAGAGCCTTTGGATAAGTTTGGATAAGGTATTGGGACTGATTGAAGTGATTGGACGGGTTCCCGGGGGCCTCAGGTGTGATTCGGAGTGGTTTCAGATAATATTTCCTTGTTTGCAACTGTTGGTGCTAGTATCTAGTTTTGTTCTTCACGAACGCGAAGGGTCACACGCGTTCACGAAGAAGAATTTTTGGGCTGCTGGGATTTGTTCATCGCAAACACGACACAGGGGTCGCGAACGCAGAGAAGAGGCTGAGGTTCCCTTCGCGAACGTGAAAGGGAGTCGCGAACGCGAAAGGGATTCGTGAACGTATAGAAGGATGGTGAGCTAGGGTCCTGGAGGTGTTAAGCCTTCTTGAAAGCGGCTGAGTGACCGCGAAAGCGGAGCATCAGGACCTAGAGGCACCTCGAACACGACGTGGGGGACGCGAACGCGAAGAAGAAATTTTGGTCAGTGGATTTTGGCCTTCGTGATCGCGAGGGTACTTCCGCAATTGCGAAGAGGAAGGGCCTGGGCAGACTTCAATTTATTTCAGGTTTTGGCTCATTTATTCCACTTAACACATGGTTTGGGCGATTTTTGGAGCTCTTCAAGAGGGAATTTTCATCATCTATGGCAAGGTAAGTAATTCTGATATATTGTAAGTTAATTACTTGGATTCTATAAGGATTTAAACATGAAAATTATTAGAAAATTGTGAGATTTTTGAAAAAACCTAAAATTTGGTATTTTTGGATTTTGACCACGAAGTTGGATATGAAATTAGGAATAAATGATATATTTCGATTTGTGGTGTTATGTGTTATGTTCATTTTCGAATATATTCGGAATCCGGGCACGTGGGCCCGAGGGTTGATTTTGTTGACTTTTCGAGCGGAGTTGGGGATTGTTATAAATTGTTAAATTATAAGCATTGGAGTATATTTTGATTGATTTGCATGTTGTTTGACTAGTTTTGGATTGATGGGCAATGATTTAAGGTATTAGAGAGGCATTGAAGCCAGCTATTGGAACTTCAGAGCGAGGTAAGTCTCATGTCTAACCCTGTGGGGGGGGAGGGGGGAACTAACCCCTATGTGATGTATTTGATATGTGCTACTTGCTTATGGGGCTACGTACGCACGAGATGATAAGAGTCTGTACGTAGCTAGATTCATATTATGTCCGGGCAGACATATGCCTTTATTATGCTATTACTTGCACTATTTGAACTCAATTTGCTAGTTTAAATTACTTGAATTAATAAGTAAGAATGTGGGTGAAGATTATGTTAAATCGAGCTTCATTATCTAGAGATTTGGCAGACTGTTAATCATTAATGAGAATTTATATTCTTTATGTGCTTACCTTGAAGCCGTAAATACATAATTCGCAAATTCGAATAGTTTCCCTACACCATTATTTACATAATTCGTAAATACACAATTGGCCCTTGTTGAGATCAGCACGCGATATTTGGGGGTTTTAAAATAGTTATTTTGTTAAAGGATCTGTTAATTATTGCCTCTTACACTATTATTTATGTGGTATTTCATGCCTACCTAGTATTCTTGTACATATATATTTATTGGACCACTAGTAAGTGTCGATGTCGACCCTCATCACTATTTCTCCGGGGTTAGGCAAGATACTTGTTGGGTACGTATTGATTTACATACTCATGATACACTTCTGCACTACATGTGCAGGATCTGACAGGTTCTTTTGGTGATCATCCTGGTTGAGGGGACTTCATGGTGAGCTTCTTTCTATGCTACGCACCACATCCCTCGGAATCTCCATCCTATTTATTTACTTTATCTTGTCTATTTTATATTCCAAACAGATGATGTATTATTATTGCATTCTTTAGCAGACGCTCATGTACTTGTGACACTAGGTTTTGGGATATTCTAGTGGATGTTAATGGTTTTGCTTTAACATTGTCACCTTTTTATTTTATATCTTACTAATTTTGTACACATCCGCGATTTCAAATGCAATAAATTTTTTATTTCATAAAACTTGTGATTTCAAAAGTAATAAAATGAATAATTATTTAGATGGTTCACCGTTGACTTGTCTAATGGCGACGTTGGGCGTCATCACGGTCTATAATGAGTTTTGGGTCGTGACATTATTGGGTCAAGTGGGCGAATGTTAGAATTTTCTTTTTACGTGTGTGGCCCAATAAAATAATCCTATCATTAATATTTAACTAGAGAGCAGATCTCATCCGTTCAACTGGTTACTTGATGGACATACCAGATTAAGACTCAATTTCTATAAATTGGTCCTCCCTCGACCTATTAGAGTTACCGCCAACACTTTTTTACACTAGTCCATCATTGACGATTGTGGTAACGTAAGGCTAAGGCAAGGAGGTAGAAACCGATTTTTTCAATTAGACGCTTCCGTTTCGCGATAATACAACCGATTTTTTCAATTAGACGCTTCCGTTTCGCGATAATACCTTCCACTTCCGGTATGTACTCCGTATCATATCTCTCTAAAATTGTCATGTTCAGATCTTGGTATACGTTATGTTTATATTACAAGTACAATCTATTTCAGATACTCTTTACTACAAATACAAAGCGTTTATTCCAACAAGCTCTCATGACATCCAAAATGGTAGTGTTCTGAAATGCATAAATAGCAAAATACTTCTGATCAACCTTATTAGAAATGACAATTACAACCCCGCCCGATTGAAGGATCAAAGTTTGTGCAAGATTATGTGGGCACCATACTGAGGTTTAAGAATAAGAGTACAGTGAGGAGCATGAGTGTAGGAAGGAGAAAGCTCAAACCAAAAGAGCTGCAGAATTCGAGATAAAGCGAGCTTGGCTTCTAACATGCCAAAGTTCAACCCTATGCACATCCGGGCACCCCAACCAAAGGGAATATATAACTGATGCTCTTTTCCTGCTGCTTTTGAAACCCCTTCTGAGAACCTCTCTGGATTGAATAGCAATGCATTATTTCCCCACACTTCGCAATCGCGATGAACCAGATGTGTAGGCACAAATACTTGTACTCCTGCTGGAATTGTCATGTCTCCCAACTTGCAGCTCTTTGACGTGCTCCGATAAAGCAGCAGTGCTGGATACAATCTCAACACCTCTTGGAAGATCATCGTCATCTATATAGTGATTAATGATCATCAGTAATTAGTAATCTGATAAAATCTGTAACTAGCATGCTATTACATAATTAAAGTTCACCGATTGGGTAAAAGAATCTTTACACTATCCGTGTCTATAACAGAAATATTTTTTTTTAGTCAGTTTATAAAAGATAAGAAAGGACAGCCTGGTGTACGAAACTCCCCGTTATATGCGGGGTCCGAGGAAGGGCCGGACCACAAGGGTATATTGTACGCAACATTACCCTGCATTTCTCAAGAGGCTGTTTCCACAGCTTGATGACTCCTTTAATTTTTATATTTGGAAACAATTTAACTTCAAATTCAAAATTATATTCCTAGACAAATAAAATGACATAAAATGAAACGGAGGAAGTATTAATTACTTACTATTCTAAGCTGATTTAAGTCATCGAATTTTGGTTTATTTTTCCCAATGACACGAAGAACTTCTTTCCTAGCTTTGTCTTGCCATTCAGGGTGCATGCTCAAGGCTACCAGTGTCCAAGTGAGCAAAGCTGAGGTTGTATCTTGACCTGCAAGGTAGAATTCTTTGCATTCTTCGATCACATCGTCTGTCGTTAGTCCTGCTTTAGACTTGTTTTTCTCTTCATTTCTTGATTTTAAGAGTAAGCCTAAGATATCATCATTGTCTTCCATGGTAATTCCTGATCGTTCGGCGTCTTCTCGCTTCTTTATTATTCCTCTTATCATACCTCTAACTTTCTTATAGTTGTCCCTTGCTTTTCTATTTGATGCTGTTGGAAGAAATCTGCAACAAGTTTTAGATGATAGAACAAGAGTTAACTTCTGAGCATCGATGGCAAGTAAAAACATGTACACTATCTGGTCACCACATTGCCTTATTTTCAAGATTACCGGTGACCTGATAGTGTAAAAATAAATTAAGTTTATCGTATAGGAGTGGCCATGCAAATGCACCTTAGCCAGGGAAAGAAAAGGGTGAATGGGGAAGCCAAGATAAGCTCACATTGCTCCTTCTGAAGTAGGAAAATTGACCTTCCTTCTTCAATATTGCTACCAAAGGCGGCTCTTGATATAACATCTCCACCTAAGAACATAAACTCTCTTTCCACATCCAACTCACAAGTCTCTGTTTTGCTAACCAATTCCTCCCATCTGATTATCATTTCCTCAACACATGCACCAAATGCTGATGAAAACATCCTCTGTAAGACAAACAGACATTGTGAACCCAGTAGCTTTTGGACATACCCTGAATATGTATTAAAAAATTCACTAAATATTCATAAATATTTGATTGTCAACCCAGTTACTTATTGTATATTTACTTAAGGTCGCTATTGCAACCCATAAACTTTAAATCTTGGATCCGCCTCTGCATTAGGATATGCGTTCTACGTTACACCCTTGAAGTGCGGTTCTCTTCCAGATCTTACCATAAATACGGAATACTTTGTGCACTGGGCTGCATTTTTTGAAGTCACATGACCAGATGGCCTATTATTTTCTATCAAATGTTTGTATCTAGTTGAATTAAGACTTGTAGTTAACTAGTACTCATACCTTTATCTTCTCAATATGAAAAGCAGGAGTTACTATCTTTCTATGGGTGGCCCATTTTTCTCCATTGTAACCTGCAAGTCCAGTCACAAACATCTCAATGAAGGCATTAGCTTCAGGCTTGTGGAATTCTTGATGTTTGTTCAATAATTCTCGAATTAGCTTCGGATCCGTAACTGTAATTCGAGGTGTCGGTCCAGCCCACATCACAAAAATTTTCCCTGCAATCATAAATTTCTCATTAGTTACTTGATGGTAATCGCTTTAGAAAGTTAGTACTCCCTCTGTTTCACTTATTAGTACTATTGGTATTGTTTTTGAATACCCAAAATTTAGTTTCAAATATTGAGTTAATTTAATCCAATTTAACTTTGACACGGAAAACATGACAACTAAAAAGGGATCAGATGTGAAAAGGAGAGTTAGAAATTTGGTCTTACTGTGATTGTTAGCAAGATGTTGAAGAAAAGGATTAAGCCAAGGCATAATATCATGGGTTAAAGAGAGGGGTTTTGACTTAGCTTCTTTAGACATTCTCATCATCTCTATAAGATTTCCAAAGAGAAACTTATAGGGATGGCCATGTATTCCTTGCTTTTTCAGCTTCTTCTCCATCATTTTTGGCCACCACCATATTTTATACAGAAATTTGACACAAACTATAGCCACCAAAATTCCAAATATTGTAGCAGCAATTAGTGTTACACCTGCCATAGATTTCTATAAGCTGAATGTATACAGTGAGCACAACAAATCACTGGAAATTAAAGAAGGTGGTCTTTCAAAGAGCACTAAAGGAGGCTCTATTTAATAGTACTGAAAAGGAAACTAGTCCTACATTATTGAATTATCATCAACTTCTAATATTGACCTGTGTAAAAGTCTATTATTCAAATGGTCACTCGACTATTCGAAATTTTTTACTGAAGTCCTCTTTCTTTTATTTGTAATAGCAAAGTCATTCAATTATGCCTATAGCACTCAAAATGTCACTCATTGTCAATTACCTATTTTACCCTCTAAATTATCAACTTTTATCTTCTTTTTTTCTTTTAATTTTTTAATATTATAATTTTTTTCTCATTTCAATTTATATTATGGACTTTCCTATAGAATAAATAAGTTTTATTTATAAATTAAAAAAATAAAATAGTGTTTAAGCATATATAATGTTGGAATAATAAAATATTGAGCATAGTAAAAAAATAAATTAGAACAATTTATTCGTAATAATAAAATATGGAATAGTAAAATATATATATATATATATATGGTGAGTTGGGGGCCTGGAGGTGTTAAGCCTTCTTGAACGCGGCTGAGTGACCGCGAAAGCGGAGCATCAAGACCTGGAGCCATCCCGAACGCGGTGTGGGGGACGCGAATGCGAAGAAGAATTTTTGGTCAGTAGATTTTTGGCCTTCGTGATCGCGAGGGTACTTCCTCAATCGCGAAGAGGAAGAGCCTGGGCAGACTTCTATTTTTATTCTGACATTATATATGCTAGAAAACTAATTTTTTATTTTGCAGATAAAAATTTATTTGTTCTATAGGTAAGTCCATAATATAAAATACCTATTTTTAGAGGGTAAAATAGGTATTTGACAATCATAAGTTTGAGAAATATGATTGAGTGGCATTCTGAGTGCTATAGACATAGTTAAGTGACGCATCTGTTACAAATGAAAGAAATATGACTTTACTTGATAATTTCAGATAGTTGAGTGGCCATTTAAGTAATGGACTCCCCTTTCTAAACGTCGTATTCCTTCCATTTTAGTTTATGTAACATTATTTTTTTAGGAAAAAGGCCAAAAATATATCCCTCTACTTTTGGATATTGTCTATATTTAATCGTCGTTATATTACCACGGTAAAATTTACCCCTACAGTTATATTATTCGGCCAAATTTACCTCTACCATCAATAAACTTTTAAAAATTACCCCTTGATCTGTTAGGTAATCCAAAATATCCCAATTTTCTTTTATTTAAATCACTTGTTATTCCTCTTACTCTATTATTTTCAGAAAGTGGAGCAAGAAGTTGACCGGAGGAAGTAATACCCAAATCGTCCCCACTCAAAAACGACGGGTGCTCCGTTTACTTTTACTTGTCCACTATACTAAGAATATATTTTTACTATTACTTGTCCATTATACTAAATTAAGAGAAAGATAATCTTTCTTTTCACGTTTTACCCTTATCATTAACTACTTATTTCCCAAATCATTTTTCAAGACTTTTGAAAATACTATCATTATTATGGGTAAAATTATAAAATATATACTTCATTTATTTTTTCTTAAAGAGAGTGTAAAGTCAAAAGTGGACAACTAAAAGTGAACGGAAGGAGTAGTAACAAACTTCCAACATTTTCCCGTCCTTAAAAAATAAAATGTTGGGCATCCTGTAAATTGAATAAATAAATAGATATTGAAATTAGAGTGGAACCAGGTCGTCTGATTTCTTAAGAGCAGTGATATTTGGATTTGGAGTATTCATTTTTGGGATGTTATGACGTTGTCAATAGGGCCAGATTTCAGGCAATGAAGATACAATTTGAGCAGTGAAAAGAAGAACATGTAATTTAGCGTTATATATATATATTGTATTTACATTCGTAGCTATATTAAATTTGTATGAAAGTTATAAATAAATTATAAATAAGTTATATACGATATAATTTGTTGTATTAAATTTATTTTTAAGATCTATGTTATTATAGATATATTAAATTTTGTATCAAATTTGTAAAAGTTAAAAAGAAGTTATATGTTTGTAACATACCTTCGTTTTTCTTTTCGGTTTGCAGAAGTAATTAATATCGTGCAGCAAAGAGGAACTACTCGTTTGCTCTAAAATCTATCAACAGATATTTGGCATGTCACAAGATTGATTCTTGGAAACTTCTTTCAGATTCCAAAATTGATGTGAGTCAATTTTAGAAAGTAGTAAACTTCAGATATTTCAGGTAAATAACTTTATAATTTAGTATATCTGCGAAAAAAAACCCCTTTTGATATCATTTGAGAAAAAAATGGATTTACATAGAAGTCTCCTTGACTTAATGGGCCACGAACAAGGTTTCGAGCCCAAAACGTTTTTCAAAATAAAGATTCTTTTTTGGATAATCTACGTGGTCTACCTATTAAAAACACTAGTTAACTCCATATACTTTTAAAATATTTATTTTACATTCTATACCTACTTTATAAAACTTTATTTACTTCTTAAATCTTTAATATCATTATATGCCATTAAACATATCCAACTTTTTAAGGGACTAGATTATCTTTCTCTCCAACTTAATAAATTCCTTAAAACACTCCATCATCCCACGAAATTAGGATTATAAATTTTCGCCAAAAAAATTCGAACCCTAATAATTTCTCTTGTTCTAAATAAACAACCCTCTTTATTCGTTTCTATGACATGGGGATGCAGAAGGAAGAAGAATATTAAAATGGAGCATTTGTTATGTACAAGACATTACCTCTTTACCATTTATTTGTCAAATGAAGTGTTTCATTTTTTTGTTTTTCTCTTCTATCTATGTAATCAAAAGAAAAGTTAAAATAACGTAAAAATATTTTAATTTGGGATACAATATCTAAACTAAAAAAAGTATTAGAATATATTAGTATTCAAATTAATATATACACCACAATATTCTAATGAAAAATGCAATATTCAAATCAAACATGCCATAATATTCTAATTTAGAATACAATATCAAACTAAACATTCCGCAATTTTTTAATAGAATATGATATTCAAACCAAATATACCATAATATTTTAATATGGTATATATTATCCAAACCAAATTAAACATAACAAATTACAATAGATTAATAAAAAATATAGAATTTAAACCATCATACAATAATATTCTAATAAAGAATACAATATTCAAAATCAAACATATCACAATATTCTAATTTAGAATACAGTATTCAAACCAAATATACCGCAATATTTTAATTTGAAATACAATATTCAAACTAAATATAGCGCAATATTCTAATTTGGAATACAATATTCAAATCAAATATACTTTTATTTTTATTTATTGTGTATATATTGTTTTACTTGGAATATTAACATACTTTAATAGTATACAATGACTAGTTTACTGTATAATTTTTTATTGTATACAAGAAAATAAGGACAAAGGTTTCCATAATAAAAAATAACAAAAATTAATGGATAATATTTTTTTATTCTTTAATTTTATGTCCAAGTTTAAAATGGATGTAGTAAGATTTTAGATTTGCTTCGTATATATAATTTCCTTTAATTTTGGCGACAAATTTGTTGGGTAGTTATTGCGCTTTGACTAATTGAATATGTGAAGTAATTAATTAATGTGTGCTGCATGTAATTTTATAACTGAAGTATATAGTGTTAAGGGTTCTTTAGAGGGGGTATACAGTGTAAAGTTTCCCTTTTTTTTTTTTTATGTTTTCAAGAGGGATTTTTACCTTCCAATACACTATTTGAAACCTTATTACCCTCCCTACTCAAGTTTGAATTTAATTATATAGGTATATACAATTTACCAATTATATACATTTTAGGAATTAAATGAGATATCAATTAACTCCTATAATCTCGCTAACGTACATAGCCCACTCCCCCCCTCCCCCCCACAATTTTCTGTCTGTACCCCCCAATATTCTGATCTCTCCCCCTCCATTCTCTCTTTTATTTTGTTCAAAAATATTTTATAATATCTCTCTCAAACTTTCTGATTTCTCTCTCAAAATCCTACGAAATAAGTATCAACTTCAAATTTTCCTTCCCTTACGATGAAGAAGAAAGATTTTTCGAAGAATAGCCCTAAAAAATGCTAATGTTGGTGACATTCTTACTTTTTATTTGGGTGTTTTCTCAAAGGATTCACCCAAAAAAATAGTGAAATGGAGACATGCAAAGCCAGAGACAAAGTCCAAGCATTCCCCTTGTGAAGCTAGGGCAGAAGCGTGAACAAAATTCAAGCATGACAGGGATGCTGGTGAAGTTTCGACATCTGCTAAATTAGTAAAGCGAAAGGGCAAAGAAATTGCTCGTGATGATGATTTCGTCGAAAAGAAGTTATCCCGAAACCTACAAAATAAATCAAAGTTTATCCCACTGTCAAACCTTCAAAAAGGAAGAAGGTTCAAAAATCTCCTAAAAACATACCCCAACAGTCAATAGAGAAGGTAAAATTATAGTACTTACAATTTTTGCTCTTTTATTTTTAGTTAAAAAACCTGTTTTCATTCTCATGACTATACCTATTTTTTATTTTTCTGTATTTGTAGAAATATTGTCTATATTGTGTATATTTGTTGTTGGTTATCAACTTTTTTATATTTTTTTGAAAATTATAGATTTATCGTACATTATTTGAAATAATTTTGTTAGGGAATGTACTACATGATTCAGTTGATTTTATTGGTTATTTGTTTCTCTATTTGTAGATGTTAGTTTTATTTTTAGTAAAAAAAATTATATATATTATGTGTAGTTGTCAGTTTCTACTTTCTTGCTCTAAACATAAATTTGTAAGTACATTTGTAGCTTCAATGTAGTTCAGTTGTTTTATATGTTTACTAATTTTGTAACTTATTTGTATGCAATGTATTAATATCTTTCTGGTTGTAGCTAAAGTGTAGTAGAATTATTATTATTGTTTTATTTTTTGGTCTTTAAACATGTTTTATTAACTTATTATTTCTTTTGGTGCAGAATCAAATATTTTTTGCACCACATGATTTTGATTATGGTATCACTAGGTTCCAGACATTAT